AATAACTCGATTAGATTTTTTCAATTTTATACATTTTTTTTCACAATATTTTGAAGTAATCACTTGTCACGCAAATTTTAAATAGATCAATTTTCTGCTATTCGTTCCAATTGTACCAACTTATTTTGTAAAATATAATACTTTGAAATAGAATGACAATACCACATCTTAACACTTGTCGATATATTTTCTATATGTACATAATAAATGATCGTATTATTGTTCTTTTTATTTACTGATGGTAGTATATACATACCTATAATTAATTAAATATGACATGCTCCTTTTAACTTTCCATAAAAGTAATTTAATACCCAAAAATATACTACTAACGTGAACCAAAACATTCTAAATATACCTACATCTATATATCGACATTCTTCGTTTATTTCTGTACACAAAATCATAACCGCGGCAACATATTACATACCACTTTTATTTTTGTAGAGGTATTTCATAAATTAGTAATATCCGGATTTAACCTTCAAATATTAATTTTAGCAAAGGTCGGTTTTGTTAGAATGTAATACAAAATCATAATACGTTATTACTGCTAGACATAGTTCTAAGAATTCTCTTATTATTAAACATTTTAGCCAAAAAGGAATGCAATGTTTTTATAAAACTCTTTTTATGAAGTACAAAAATATAGTCTGGCATGCCATAGGTCCAGAATGTATTTATAATGATAAATTAAAATGAAATAAAATAACCAAACTTTAAAAATGGAATTAAAATATTTACTGTAAAGTTGTCGATGATATGAGATATAAATTAATTCAAAGATATTTTTAGAAAATTATAAGATTTAGACAAGAATCTCATTTATCAAAGTTAAACAATTTCTGGGATATATCTAATTTAAATAAACATTTTAAAACCAACTGACCATAAATAATTTGACATGAAAAAGAATCATTATCTGACCGTATTTCATTTTTCGATAAGTCAGAGGAAATTAATTTAGAAATATATAGGTCAATAATTTGCAAAGAGATAGAAATTGATGGATTTTGCTTTACATTATGACGAATGAACATAATAATATCTAGGTCAAGCAGTAAATTTAAAAAAAAATATCCATTTTTCATTTGCACGGGAGACTACATATTATAAATTAGTTATTATATAGGTATTTGTAAACTTCATTTGAATAATAAAAGTTGGCCAATAGTAATCGAACATCATTCGCTTACTAATTATAAAGTAATGAAAGAAATGGGAATCAAATACTGTTCTATTATGAAACAAATAATAAACATGTTTTGTTAAGCACGAGCAACAATGATTGAAATAGGTGGCCATTCTGATTTTTTTTCAAGTTAAATAATCTGAATAATAATATATATGAATAATGAATCTATACTAATATATAAAATTGTAATAATAAAATCCTTAAGTGACTGACATACTGATTAATCATGATCCTGCTCAAACCACTCAACGTAAGAAGCGTTGAATAAAAGTAATTTTAAAAATATTTATAAACTGGAAAATTAATTTAATATTATGCAAAAGTGTTTTAAAAGCTTAACCGTTGCATTTTTTAATACTAATAACCGTTAATATAAATAATACGTGATAGTTCACTGGTTATGATATTTTTAATTTTTAAACGAGAGCACGTACAAGGTGTCATATATTGCAAATATCCATACTTATACAGAGTGCTACAAATTCCAGGTACGAGCATTGGTAACTCGGTAACCGTAATAGATATGAATATGGTTAAATTGGGACAAAGTTGCCGCCTTGGGATGTTCACCAAGATACCCTCAAAAAAGTTTTAAAGATTTCAAGTATTGCCGAGTTATTCGGGAAAAAACGATTCTTTGGAAAATAAATTTTGTTTTCTCCTGTGGTTACTTTTTAGAAAATCAAAAAACTAATTGCACATTCTCAAAGCCACTTTATCAGGATTATTTGATAGTTTTTTAGATTTGAAAATTAGCTGATAATTTGTAAGATATATAGGCCAACATGATTATTTTAAATACGAACCCACAAGTATTCTTGCCTTGAACTGCTAATATAGAAATTAATTCCACACTGTGTTCGTCATAATGGGGAATCATGATACAAGGAATACAAGGTATGAAATTACGCAGGTTAGTCACTACGTCACAGATGATTAAACGGCACCACTGGTCGGCAAGCTCTACTAAAGGATACAAGGACATATACCACCCGAGACCAAATTGTTACCATGGCTCCACACAGTGCCGTGGCCATATATTTTTCTTAACTTAGCTGCTTGAAGGGATATTTATATTTTTGATAAATGGTTTGACTACGCCTATAGTGTAGTCGGTAGTATCATACTAATTAATTACGAAAAAAAACGTATTAAAATGTTAACAAAAGGTTAGGTATTATTATTATGTATCTAGTATCGACGTATAGCAAATATCAAGTACATATAGTATCAGAAAAATAATTACCAAATTCAATAAGAAAACGCTAAAAAGGTGGAGCGGACTGTTTATTTACTTATAAAACGTAACTCCTGGCTCTTTCTTGTCGTTGCGGCTTTTACACTTAAAAGCTGAACACGTCACCATTGTAATAAAGTTTATACAAAGTTCACTACACACAACAGATTGTTAAAAATTGCTAAAATTGTCGCTGTTGACGAGGTGCTGACTCATCCGTAGGCTCCAAAATGATGGCGTCTAACGTAACAAATTCTGCTGCAGCCCGTATATGACCGTTACGTGTCCTTGTATTCTTTAGTCATTCAGTTCAGTCATTAGTTCATTGGTGAAAATAATTTTTCAAATAATGTTGATGATCTGACATAACTTCTGGGGTTATGTCCTAATTCTTCCCTATTTTAGGTCTTTTTTATTAGTGGCAATTGAACAATATGGATATTTTTTGTATGGCATCACAGGTGGTATACGCAAACTGAACGAAATTGGAGCCGCTATCGATCATACCTTGTTTTCTTTGTACCATGATGGGGAACAACCTGCTCTCACTACCGGTTTCGGGGCCCTACCCCATCATCAGGTGAGCTTGGATTGATTACACTAAATGATCAATGCAGCGCAGACTATGTAAATCCCAGTTGTCGGAAAACAGCGATGAGATAAATCTCGCATAGCGAGATAGCGGCCTGCGTGCAATGGTCGTACTTAGTACTTTAATACAACCAAGACACACTACGTTTCTAACTTTAGTTCTACAAATACTTTAGATCTAATCACAGGATTCATTATTATATAAGTATAATTTTATACCGTATGATCAAAAAAAAACCAATAGCACGTCTAGAGATTGCTCCAGACGTAATCTACTAAAATTGACTCAAGTTCTCGAATTTTAAACTACACCATTTAAAAATAATTTGTATTCAATATAAAAATAAATTTCAACCTTCGTAAGACCAACTAGTAGTAATTGTCATTAAAAAATAAAACAAAAGTAATGAGGTCTAGGGCTCGCTAAAATTATCATCAATTCTCGTTAAGGGCATCAACTCCAGTCGGCTATGATGCCGGTTTTTTTCGTTTTATTTTTATCCCACTGCCGTTTTTCGTGTATTATTTTTATCTCACTATCGCCAAACATAATGCTATCCAACACTTTTTTTGTGGTATAAATATAACAAATATTATTCTATATCAGATTTTCAAGTTTTATTTTCAAGTCCTAATACCTACATAGTGCTAATAATACAACTTTTCTTTACACACTCTGCATCCTTAAAATTTTCATGTTTTATAAAGTTCTATATATTGTGTTCTAGTGGACCGATTTTGATCATTTTGTAAGCAATTTGTAGCTAAATTATTTGACTTTTTAGTATCTCTTTCTAATTTAAAAATGAATGTTGCCATCTGTCAATTATACGAAGGCAAACGAAATGTTAAAGAAATGTAAAAGAGAATAGAATTTAAGAATCAGTTTATCATCTAGGTGTATCTTTCCTCGGTAGTTTGCTTTTTGATTCATCTCAATAGCTTTATTTGGAGATGTTCGCATTTGAAGAAGACACATTTTTCGCATTTTTAACATTAAATCTTTGCTTTTGGTACTAGTCAACAGACCTATAAAATAGAGTTTACAATTTATGTAATATCACTGTCTTTGAAAAATCATATTATTATTTTCTGTTGGGCAGTTACACTAGCAGATATGGTTTTAAGTCCAAAAGTTGATCTCAACCATGATCAATTAAAGCAACAATAGCCAATACTTCAGAACTTAAAACCATCTCTACTAGAGTAAACGTCAATAAACAATCATAATATGAATTTTCAATGACAGTAACATTACAAAAACAATAAACACTATTTTGTAAGAGTGTTGATGAGGACCCTAAATCAATGTTAAAATTGCTGTAAATCGTTACTGTCTTATTCAAAAGCGAATATCTCCAACAGAGATAAAGCTATTGAGATGAATCAAAAAACAAACTATGGAGAAAAGACGTACCTAGATGATAAATTGATTTTTAAATTTCTTGCTTGTTAATATATTCCACAGGGCGTTTCAAACTTCAACCAAAATATCAACATTGTGTTTTCCCTCGTATAATTGACAGAAAAAAACATCATTTTTAATTTAGGAGATACTAAAAACTCAAATAATTTAGCTACAAATTGTTTAAAAAAATCATCAAAATTGGCCCGCTCGCTAGAACGAAATATATTTAAAATACATCAATATTTTAAGGCATTTTTTGTGCCGGTGAGTGTATATTATGGAATTCTTGTTATATATCTCCATTTACTACTTTTAATCGAAGGCAATCACTTATTTTTCCCTAGACAACAATTCTCGCATCTAATCACTCAAAGCGCAAGCGTTTCTAACTCCTCTATACCGTTTTCCCAATTCTCTAAATTTTCCAAGTCCAGTAGCGCGATAACAGCTCGACACAACGGCCACAGCCACACTTTTATGCTATTTTCCGATGAAAAACATCGCGTTTTCTTTTAAACACTTTTCCAAACAAACTGAAACACTTTTGATTTAAAGATATTTTTCTCAAAATGGGTAAAACTAACTCAACTTCAACCTCTACATCACAGGAAGTTAATGTTCCTCCTCACATTTTGGCTATAGTTCACCAGTTGCTCCTAGAGATTGGGGGTGATAAAAATTTAGATTTACGCGAACCCCATCCTAAAAAATCTCTAGAAGGAATAGCATCGTACATCATTTTCGCATATGGTGTACTTGTATTCTATGGTGTTCTATCTAATGTACTCTTGTTTATTCATATTATTCAGTACAGACTTTATAAAGACCCCACTTATAGTTTCATTATAAACAATGCCGTTAGTGACTTTATTAAATGTGTTGTGGTGTTGCCTATAACACTGTACGTGTTGCTGGTCCAGAACTGGATGCTTGGCGAGTTGCTTTGTACTTTTCTTCCTATGTTGCAAGTAAGAAAAACATACTTTTTATATAGATTATTTAATTTCAGCCGTCATTATAGACATTGTATAAGAATATGAAATTGAAAGAGTGATTTTGTTCTAACTGGCTATAATTTTTTGCACTTTTATTTTAAAATTTTTGACTTTTTAATTTTTCTTTTATACGGGGTGGTTTCAAACTGTAATTCGGAAAACTATGTCCTAAAATTCATTGTTGCGGAATTACAGGGTGTGGATATTTCATTTTTATATCGTTTTTTTCCAAATAATTTTTGTCTACATATTATATTAGGACGAAAATTTGTGGCCAGGTGTTTTTTGACATGATAAATTTATTTCCGATGTCCGACACCTATCTATAGTGTGCACCACAAGATATTTGGAGTAGTGTGTTCTCAAGATATTTGGAGTATAAGTTATCAATACATGTCATCATTGACAAGAAATAACCATGCTGAGACTAGATAGTTATTAGACTTAAAGGTTGATTCTCACTATACCTTCCGTTTCCATTCCATATCCGTTCCGTATTTTTTATTGTATTGACGCTGTACGTAAAGGTTGATTCGCACTATACCTTCCATATCAGCTCCCTTCCGTTTCTCTTTCGTTTACATAAAATATTATATCATGTAAATGAATAGGACAATGCACACTGTGCGTTCCGTTTCCCCTCCGTTCCATATCCTTTCCTTCCATACAGTTTTTGGCGGACGCACTAAAGCGTATCGGAAACCGCTTTCAAGTTCTTACATTTGTACCAGCTCTGTTAAAATTTTGCTGATATTTATTTATTCTTTCACCTGTTAATTAAATATATTACCTTTTTCAAAAAGATAAAAATTTTTAAAATAAAACTTTCACAATGATAAACTTTCGTACAATAAAATGTATGGAACTGATACGGAATGGAACCTTACGTATAGCGTCAATACAATAAAAGATACGGAGCGGATATGGAATGGAAACGTAGGATATGGAATGGAAAAGGTAGAGTGAGAATCAACCTTGCATAATAAATATGGAACTGTTTTTATGCAAAAGGTTTAAATAAACTATTTTATCATATTTTTTTATAAAAAATTACAGTTTCTACATACATAAAAACAAAAATGCAATAAAACATAAAATACAAATTATCGGAAAATTAATAATCAAAAAATATAAAAAATGCTGCATTGACAATAAATAAAGAAAATAACTTATATGTACATATGTAGATATATGAAAATGTCCCAATAAAAATGACATTCATATTATATCAGTAACATACCTGAAATGGAATGTCTAAAAAGGTAGTATTTGAAATATGTTCGAAAATACGGAGACTCAAAAGAACAATTTTTTTTACTATGACAAAACTCAATGTGGAATATTCGGTTCAAAGGACGGAGCAAGATAAAAATATTCAATGGTCTTGTCAGGCGTTTATGGAAGACTTAAAATACCTTCAGGCGGAGGACATAGATTACTATTAACACATATATGACCATTGATATTAAATAGAATTTCCAGAGCTTTCTATCTAAACATAATTTATCAATTCAAAGTCTACCTATTTATTATACAGGGTGTTATATTCCTGATGTAGGGGGGGGGGCAGGTATTTCCGATCCTTCCCTGACAACAACAGATGTTCATCGTCTCAGATGTTCATCGTCTGATCTCATCATATTTTTTGATCCAAGCCAGTGTAGTTTATAATTCCAAAAGCATTTACCAAGGCTTTTACTAAGACAAGTAACTTCCTATTCCTGTCCATAATAGTATATATTTATCAAACGTTCTGTAAATTCTAAACTATGGTATGTAAGTGTTTGCAATTAAATATTTAGTTTATATTGCTATTTTCTGTCATATTTTTCTGGTTATTTCTTTTTCCGATGATTTTGAACACCCTATAATGCTACCCACAAGTTTGAATATTTTAACACTACCTATTTTCTGAGAAAGCAGACACTTTTATAAAAAGTAACTAACTGATGTTTTCATAAAAGTAATAATACAAAAAATTCCATACTTATATGGAGAACTTTAAACTCCCTCTATATTAAAAAATTAGTGAAATATTACGTAATCTAACCCAACATTTGTGTGAAAAATGTCTATTTGGAAATAAAACATGGTTTAAAATACGCGCCAAATAAAGTACTTCTATCTCCGCCATATTGGAAAAGGTTGAATGGCCTTAAGTAGAGGGGGTGGTGGTTTTCTGCGGTACTTGAAAGTTTTTGTAGCTTTTGAACACCTTTCTAATGATTATTATTGTTTATTGCAAAGAAAACTATTTAAAGCAGTTTTTAACTATCTACGATGGTTCGCCAGTGCATAGTTTGTAAAAAGGTGGTCTATTCTAACCCGGAATTGATATTTCGACGGTGTCATTACGTTTTTTTTGCCTTTAGCCATGCTTAGTAGATTATTACAAAAATACGTATATTTTCTTATTTGTTGGCGCTTTCGATTGTGAAATCAGAGTTATCTTCAGTTAGACCTCAGGCAAAACTAGTTATAATGGAAAATTGGTCTGAGACAATCTCAATCAATTTTTGATAAAATTCATCAATTTTTAATAAAAAAACATAGATATATAATTTTTATTTTTGATTTTAATAATTAAACATAGATGATAGAGCCAAATGACAGAAAGATAGACGAAACTCAACCGTGTTGTCATTATTTATGTACTCATCTCTTTTTAACTCTCATAAAAGTGTCAAACCATGTATGATTCTAAAAAATTGAATTTTATGAATGGAGTGTTCTATCTACCCATTTAGATGTCTTTGGCTGGCCCCATTGTTGTCTATTGTTGGTTATGCAGGTCCAAGATGTCCCTGCTAATTTTCTAATATCATGGTCCCATTTCAGTGTTGTCTTCTTCTAGGTCTTTTAATTCCTCGAGGATACCATGCTTTAATGTTTGTGGTCCGTCTGTTGTCTATCTTTTTGCCAGGTGTCCTGCCGATTGCCACTTGAGGGATTTGATTATGTGGATGACGTCTATTAAGGACGGTTTACACCAAATTTCGCTGCTATATAACTTGCTAGATGTTATCCATTTGTAGTCGGTAAAGATCAAAAGATGTACAACACTGCTATTGTAACATGAAACAATGCGTCCAGACTTGCTAAATTTCTAGTTTAGCCGCTCATATTTTCAGGGACGTATGCTACAGAATTTTAGTGTTCTGAACTGATATTGGTTTGTTTATTTACTGGTCAATAATATCGTAAGATCGAAAAAAACTGCGTCTAGTTGGCTTGGACATGACGATTGATGACATTTCCCATATAATTTTCCATATAGAATGACAGCGATCTTCATTTCATAATCATCGCTGACGCCATTTTTTTCGATCGTATGGTTCTTATATTAATGGAGTAGAGCCAAGACTTGTCAAGTAATTAAGTTGTATAGAGATCATACAGTGTTATGGGATATCCGTAGTCCCTCATTTAAAGTGAAATAAAAAAAAGCATGATGCATGCTTAAAAATTTATTTGGAAAAAGAAAAAGTTTAGAAAAAAATGCGTTATCCGAGGCGTTATCTAATAGGTCAGTTCCAGAGGGAACAAAAGAAATGCAAATCAGGTACTGGTTTAGATGAAGTGGATTTAGATAAAATTTAAGTTATTAATAATGTTTTTAAAAGACAGAAACACACCATGAGAACAGCCGCGGCAGGTATTGAAAAGGTAAGCTAATTGAGTTCAACTATATCTAGATCTTCAAAACTCAAAACCGCTTTTTTCTCGACTTTCTTTCTCTTTCTTCAAAGGTAATTACGCACGCCGCTGCTGCGAGCAGAACCTCTTTCTCGTCAAAACGATTCATGATTACAAAAACTATAATGTGGACGGCTCCCGGTTTTTTAACATGTTATATGTAGCTTGTTAAATAGCAATGTTATATAACATGTTACTAAATGTGGACCCTCCTTTACCAGGGTCTTTTGTCGCATTCGCTCTATTCTTTTACGGTCTCTCTTGGTCATTCCCAGCATATTTCGTTCCATTGAGCGTTGTGCGACCAGTATTATACTATCAAATTTCTTTGTCAAAAATTTTATTTTTTCAAAGAATTTGACAAATTTTTCATCAAACATATTTTATAAAAATACTTCGACAAAGAAATTGGATAGTGTAATACTGGCCATAGCAAATTTATTTTATAAAATTTCATCACAATAGTGGATGACAATTCCTAATTCGTGTAAAAAGGTAAAAAACATATCAACAAGCAAAGGAAAATAACAATCAGTAATTACGTGTTTTTAAGTGGGATTTTAAGTGCATTTAGAATTGATTGGAATGACAGGGGCATAAATATGAGTATAAATGTATGTACAGATCCTGTCAATGAGAAAAAGAAACGACATAATAACGCAACTCTCAAAAAAAACATCTTTCTTAAAACAGTTTATTGCCTGATTTATTTCACTTTGCTCTATTTTCAACGCAAGCAATATTTTTATTTTCACTGTCTGGGTTAAATGGAATTCCCACTTAGCCCTATTTATATATTAATATGATGATATGAGAGTTTGACAGATTCAAAATGTTCACACGTTAAATATTCAAGAGAGAGTTGCTGTCCGACGGATAGACGTCAAGTAAATATTTAATGTTGTATTGATTGGATTTGATAAACAGAGAAAAGTAAATGATATACAGAGTTATTTACCTTATTCGACACGGAGTATTGTAACCACACCATTAGATTTTTAAAATTTTTGAGTGATGGGACTGTTAGAGGACTACTAAAGCTACAATATAAAATTATTTTTAAAAGGTACAGAGTGTCCTAATTAAATAAAAAATACCAAAGTTGCATTTTTTTTAAATGAGACACTCTGTATATTATTACAATTTTAGTTTCTACGATTAAAATAAAGGTTTAATTAAAATTCAATTAAGTTTTACCGCACTTTAATCTTACCGTTTTTGAAATATTTACATCTTTGTGAAAATACATTAACAATTTTAATGCTTCATTTCTCTAC